CAATCTTGCCTGCCACAGGAATTCAAAGTCCCCAGATGCTGCTGGCACAAAGAAGTATGCCCAGCCCTTGTTGTTGCTGCTACAGCAACAGCACCGAATCCCTGCATTTGGCTGGCTGCTGCTATAGTCATGGTACAGGGCTGCCACAGCACCATGGTCTCCCCAGGGAGTTGCCATTAGAGTGCCCCCCTCTAAGTGGGCACCCAGGGCTGGTGCCTTGCTCACCCACCCCGTTATGCTACTAGCAGCGTTTCCTGTCCTGAACATACATCAGCTCGACCCCAGTCACTCTCACACTGCTCTGCCAAATGGGTCCCACTTTGAGCTGATACAGGCAATGACAGTAGCAGCCCCCCCACAAAAGCCTGGATCTAATGCAAAATGTCTCACCGCATACTTCCTCTTTGTCAGGCAGAAAGAGACTCTCTTCTTGAACTGCATGTGGTAGGCTCGGTCATTGGCCCTCACCTCCCAGGTGAAATCTGGAAAAGTAGGCAAGCATTGAGCCATCTCCAACCCTCAATAACCAGACATGGGCAACACCTGGCTCATGGGAAGATGAGGCAAAAGAAGACAGGGGGTGTAGCTACTGGGTCATCAAAACACAGCCTAATGATACTTTGCTTGGTTTTATATGAGGACACTGGCCTTTGGGAGCAATAAAAGAAGGCTATGGGTCTGGGATCCCAGTATTACAGAGACATATGGAGTAGCCGGGACAGTGGAAGCTTGAATTCCAGCAACCGCAAAGACACTCCCAGATCAGAAATTGTTCCTTGCTCTTCTAGGACTAGATTGAGCACAGCCCACTGGGCAGTCTGCCAGGTGCCAGAGAACACAAGGAGACTTGCCCAACTCCACCCAACCCACCCCTGCACCAGACACAAAATCAGTCTTTGAACTTCCAGCGAAGGAGAACTGAGGAAAATTAGCACTTGGATTACAGCCATGATGACCAAGTAGAGCACAGCTAGCACAGGGTGGAAAGGGAAACCTTCCAAAATATGCAGAAGGATCATCTACTTATGCTTTTGGAGGCTTGGGGTGTGTCTCAAGCATTTGCCCCCAGGGACAATCTCTTATGCAGAGGCATTGGCTTAGTGACATAACTCTGCACTGGCAAATTAGCATAGCTATAGATATTCCTGAGCAGGAAGTTCTGGGGTAAATTCCCCAGTTGTATCATGGCCTACTTTCCATGGGCATCCTCATGCCTTTCACACTTCTACCTCTGTCTCAGATGCCTCTAATCCAGTCCAAACTTGCCCATAAACTCAATGCGAATGCACCTCCCACCATGCAGTCTTGCACTGACCTGACTGCCGCTTCTTTCCATTCAGGGAGCTCGTGGACACCTTCTGTTCGGCCATGCTGATGGCAGCGCAAGAATCTAGAAAGCAAAAGGACCAAGTATCATTACCAGAGTAACCACCACCACCTCACATTGCATTTAATTTCTCCTTTCACAAGGTGACAGTGCACTTAACAATATTATCCCTGAGCTGGCCCTTTAAGTCCTCTGGTGTGGAATGGGAAAATTACCTCTCAACCCCAGATAATGACAAACCTCTACCCAGAAGCCTCCAATAAAACAGGTGTAAATACAAATTATTCCTACTGATACCCAATCCTCCGAAATCCCTGCCTCAAGTTTATATCCCACAACAAAAAGTATCACAGGTTGCTTACGTGTTGGGTAAAAAAAAAAAAAAAAGTATTATTCTTCCGTATGTTGTAAAGGCAACATCTCTTCAACAAAAATGTTTTGTTTTTCAAATACCAAGGTTAATACAGGCCTGACTGGCCATTTCCCACTCATCATGTTACTTTTTTCTATCATATTTCTTCTTAATCTTCTAAATAAAGCAGTCATGTGGTAAACTCACTACTGATTTAAGTGGCTGTTAATCCCAGGGGACTGAAATCACTTATGGTGGGAATAAATCCAGTCCCTAACTTCTAATTTCTCTTGCGACCTCAGGTCATTTCCACTGGTTTACTTGGACAGAAGGACAGACAGCGATCAGATATGAATCTAAACTCGCATCCAAACTTCTTCAGAGTTCAGGAGCATTTGTCTCTGGATCAAACTGCAGGTGCAGTCTTGAGGTCCTTGAAGCAATTAACTGGTTTTGTATGCCAGGATGTCAGTGATGTAGCCACACCATGCTATAGCAAGCAGCCTTATTCCCCCAAGCATACATATAGATGAACACTGGAAGGGGCTTCTGGCAATGTTTAGCATATACTATTCCCCCTGCAATCCATCAGATTCCATAGCATTTCACACAGTGAGTCCCGCATCCAGCTCAAAACCTTATATTTGACCAAAGCATGAATCCTAGAAAAGCACCTGCTCTTGATCTGAAGACATCAAGAGATGGAGAATCCACCTCTTCCCTTCAGAGTTTGTTCCCATGGTAAATCAGAATTACAGCTCATGGATTCATTATGGTTATTCAGATACTACAGAGACAAGACTCCCACTGACATCAAAGCGGAGAGTATCTGAATAAGAGCTTCAGGATCTGGCCACGTTTGTGGGGAGGGGACTCTCTCAGAAATCTGAGAAAACTTGCTAGACTAGCAAGACTGGCACTACCAGCTGACACAATGGAGTAGGCATGGGTTATATCTCAACCCCGTTTAAATCCAGCCCCACTCCCAAGACAACTCTAAGATATTTTCCCCCTCCAGAGGTTACAGGAAATCACTGGAGACCATCAATGAGTAGGAGGAATTCTGTCAGCTCCTACCATCATACCCCAGACAGAGACCAAATGCCTGTATCAATAGTAAGATTTCCCTTACGCTCTGTAATTCAGTGACCTTCCCCCACAGGGATGTTAGGGAGATTAATTGTGAAATGCTTTTTGATCCTTAGATGAAAGGAGTTAGTGACGTATAAAAGTAGTAATTATCTTCTTATTAAATAATCCCAGGTAGAAGCCTTCCTTACCATTATTTTTTCTCTTTCCTTTGATCATCTCCTTTTCTTTCTCGTTTTTTTTCTAGTCTTTTATTGCCGTCTCCCTCCCTCCCTCTCTTCCTATCACTCTGAATAGAAGACAGTAAAATTTAGTTTGATATTAGTTTCCCCTGTACAAGATGATTTAGGGAGGCACTTGTAACATGTTATGAAAGAGCAAGACCAAATGAGCCCAAACTGAACTCACCTAAACTTTTGGGAAAGTCAGATCCCTGTAAAACAGTCCCCAACCCTCTCATTACTGCTGAGTCCAAACCAAAAGCTGCTCTACATATAACATGCACATCAATAAGTCCATTAGGTCCAACTTTCAAAATAGGACATTTGATTTCCAAAACAGGAACATCTGCACACAGAGAAGCAATCAAACCTTAAAAGTTGTGAATTTGCCAACACCAAACCTTACAGACTTTGTGCAGTAATAATGAGCAACACAGCCCAGGAACTAGAAAACAAGAGTGATCCATGTGGTTGGTCTGTATCTAGCAGCCAGAGTAAGAGAATCTCCTTTATATACATTATAACTCACCTGTTCATCTCTTGCCCCCAAATATATAACATATTGACCATGCCACAGATTCAGGGAAGTCTGATTGAGGCGTCTATGAAGATTTTGCCTACACAATTTTCAGGCTCCCACATTCCTCCTTGCTCCCCAGTGCTCACTCACTCACGCAGGCCCCTCACTCACCTTCCGCCCAGGTAAGCCATTGGAAATGCTGCCACTGGCTTCAGAAGAGGAAAAGTACGAATAAATTCCTACTTACCAAAGTAAGTTGGTCTAATAAAAAATATCAGATCCACCCAAAGAACCTTGTCTACTTACCAAAGAGCAGATCAGAAACAGCAGAAGAGGCAATGATTAATTAGCTTCTCTTCAGAGTCCCTTCACCTTAGTCCCTGCAGACAGCATAGTCCCTGCTTCCTTCTACTGATCCACAGCCAGTAGGTGCCTCAAAGGGATGGAGAAAAGCAAGGAGTGCGAGAGCCACGGTTCTACCTGGGCTCTTCTCTGAACTTCTGTGCACAGCCTGGGAATACCCGAGGATGAATTTTTGCTGAGTCAGCCAGAATGGCTACTGGGGACCTGTGTCCTGTTCATACCAACACTCCTAATATTGGCTCATGCAAAAATCTAGCCTATTGTCTCAATCTTTTTAGACTTGAGATACCCCTCAGAAAATGCCAGTCATTTTGTTTCTGACTACTACAGAAAAATGATAGAGCAGCTTTTTGTGGCAAGGAACTCAGAGAGACCATGAGTCCAAATGTTTTTTAACACTGTTAATTTCTAGTTGAAATCTCTGGGTTTATCCTGTGAATCATGTTCGCACTCCTAAGAGTGCTAACATTGCATGGCATCCCACGGCACCCTTGAAAGGATCTCAAGGCACCCTGGTTGAAAATCACTGATCTAGGCTAAATATATAGAATTTTCCTTAAAAATGCAATTCTCCAAAAACAGAACCAATCCTATGGAGGGCCTGAACCTGTATTTTACTGACTCCAGCTGAAAAGCATCAAGTAGGCCAAGATGATCAAAGCTTTAACTGGGGCCTGGCCCTTCAGTAGAGGCCTTTCTTGCTCAGGAAAATGTTCCAGTCTCTAGGATATCCCAGCTGGACTTCATATGTCTGTGACCTATTGTATTAATGAATAATTAGTGCTATTACTATTTCTGCTTGGATTGTTCATCAGCTCAGAATTACTGATGTTCCCAGCTCCTGCCAAACCAAACCTGAGCTAATTAAGCACCTGCACTTGGCAGGATTGGAGGCACAGGGTTGAAATGGAAGCCGTGCGTCTGTGTGTGTGTCAACACAGGGGGATTAACTACTGCCCCAAACAGACATAACATAAAAACTGATCCTGGGGAAAAATGTGAACTGAAAGCCAGTACAACAGTGAGAAACAAAGAATGAAAGAACAAAGGAATGAATGAGAGAAAAGAATGGAAAAGAAAAAGTCAAAGCAGCCAAGAAATATTTCCAAGAAAAAAAAACACGCCACAAGTTTAGTTCCAAGAAACCTCTTGGCCCCTCTATAAATATCACTCATCACCCAGATAATTAAAGATAAAAATTATAAATTAGGCATGCTGGAACAGGCACTAATCTGCTGTCAGGGCAGCCACCCAGCTCAAGCTAGTGAAAGGTGACTGGCAAGCAGCAAGCTCTGAGGCTTCCTGTAGTTTCCTAGCTGTGCAGAGCTTCCTGGGGTTGGCGTGGAAAAGAGATGGTCTCAGCTACATGCATAATCCAGTTTTACTGGAAAACTCAGCTCCTCAATCCCCTTGGCCCCATTTGTGCTCTTCCCTTACTGCTTCCCCTTCTCCTTTCCTCGTATCTCCTTCATGCCCATCATGCCACCCCTTATGCCTGGCAAAGCCTCCATGCCCTCATCTGCCAACTGTCCATTTCTCTCCTTCCAACCCTTCTTTAATCCCTGCCTCAGTCCTTCCTACCTCCTTTCCTCATCAATAACTCCCACATGCTCCATGCCTGTAGCTTTTGAGCTATGCCTCCTCTTATACCTTCAGATCTTCAGGCCAGAGGAAGCCTCTTATGGGTGTGAAAGCCTGGCAGGGCCCAAAATGGCAAGGCTATATATATGTGGGGTTTGTTACTCAGTCCCATCCCAGAAATAGGAAACCCAAGCCACCTGATTTCTTAGGCCCTCCAGTTAGGGCCTGGCTATAAATTCCTGCTTGTTTTTAGTAGTCCCTACAGCCTTCATCAGTTGTGCTAGCATCCATCACTGAAAATACAAACTTTCAGGCAGCAAAATATTGCCTTGTGTACACAGAAACCTACTCTGGTTTGGTAAACCAGAGGCAAATCCATGTGGGCACTCCTCTTTTAGTTTAAGAGTGGCCTGCTTTAGTTTGGCTTAAGAGAGAGATCCCAATTAACTTCAGCTAAACTTGCATGAGTTTCTCAAACACAAAGAGTCTTCACAGGGGGGGTTGCATTTAACTCAGTGGGTCTTGACCTGTTTAGACTCAAGCCTGCCCTCAGAAAATGCCAGCTCTCAACTTGCACTCATTTCTTGACTACAGAAAAGGAACAGAGCAATTCTTCTCTTGCAATGAATTCCAAAAAGACCACAGCAGGTTCGAATGTTTTTGACACTATGGATACCTAATTTGAAATCTGTAGCTGCATCCAGATGAGCACAGCTGTGCGGCATGTGTGTCACAGACTCATCCGTGGCACCACACACCACATATTTAGGTGTTCTCCACACTGATAACTTGCAGCACAGGAGGGGGTTTTGACCCCGCGGTTAAAAAAAAAAAAAAAAGCAGGATGGTGCACATAGTGGCATCGCGTGCTGCCCAAAACCAGAGCCTGGCTGGCCGGAGCCCCACTCGGGCTGCCAGCCAGGTTCCCAGATGCAGG